TTTTTTTTTTTTTTTTTTAAGAATGGAGCACTAAATAGGTGACTGGAACGTCTGTGTAGATAGATGGGAAGAACAAGTCCACAGTGGGCTTCACTGTAGAATGACCTCCCATGGCTCATTCCCTGGGAACTCTGTATCTTAAAGTCTTTTCTTTTGAGCTGATCAGAGAAAACTCTTCAAATTTCATGCCTGGAGGAATATACCTAGCTGACTATGTACTGGAAACAAAGTGGGAGTAGAAGGTAGGGGATCCCAACATTCAGTACCATGAAACTCACTTAATTCCCTTCTTGTCAGTGGGATCCTCCTACCATTAACCACGCCTCCCAAGCCAGAACCTTTTGGTTTATTCTCTTTAGAAAATTAACTTCTAATCTTCAGGGTGGCGGGGAAGCAGTCACCCAGCTGTGTGGAGTTGGGAGGGAGGGAATCTGTTTCTTGAACATCTTTTAGAATTCCATTTTATCTATAGTGCTTTTGAGTGTATCACTTTGTATAACTATTTAGTGGCTGTAGCAGTGGTTAAGCATTCGGCTCCTAACCAAAAGGTCAGCTGTTCAAATCCACCAACTGCTCCTTGGAAACCCTGTGGGGCAGTTCTGCTCTGTACTATATGGTCGCTATGAGTCGGAATCAACTCAACAGCAATGGTTTTTTAAAATTTTTTATTTAGTGGTTGCATTATATATATATATATAACTTATTAATCTACTGGTGTCAACATTTTACCAGTTTGAGTCAAGTTCCTTTTCCTCTCTTTATGTCCCTTTACCCTTCCCCCATTTATAATGATTGTCTTAAATATTTCCTCTATATACCTTGAGAGCCACATTAAACAATGTCTTAATTTTTGCTTCAAACATCAAACATAACTTAGAGGAAGGGGGGCATCATTGTTTAGGAAGCAGTGAGTTTCCGTTTATGATGATGGAATTTTCAATCATGTTCTTTCCAAGTCCCTGAACATCAAGCCAAACCATTGGCCACAGCCCATGAAGCAATATACAGTTGCACAACCGGACATTTCTTAGTCCAGGCAAAGTGAACGACCAGGTACACTGCTCGAAGTTCTACCTGTTGGGAGGGTTTTCCTTCACCACCGTCCTTCAAGAAGTCCCAGAAAGGGGCTGCAGTGCTGCTACTGTCCACTTTCAAGTGGCACCTGCACATCATGCAGAACCATCTGTAAACCAGGCACAAGATTTCTCTTCCTCAACTGATCATAAGGAACTCCCCAAGAGGCCATAGGTGCATACTGGGAGAGGAAAGTTAATGTGACAGGAGTGGAGATCATGGGCATTTGGGCCACTTCCTCATACAACTTAATTGTGCTTTCAGGTCCTGCTCAAGCCCAGTTTCGTATATACCACTTCCATTAAATGATAGAGGGCTGCTGTGCACATCCAACTTTATGACTCTATGTATCAGACAACACCGAGTTCATGATGGGCACCTCAGGCTGCGTGGTAACTTGGCAGTCCATGGTTAAGCATTCAGTCTTTACTAAGGCCCAGTAACAAGCCAAAAACTGTTTCTCAAAAAGAGATTAGTTATCTGCAGAGGATGGCAGGGCTTTACTCCAAAATCCTAAGGGTCTGCGCTGTGATTCACCAATAGAGACCTGCTAAAGACTTCAAACAGCATCTCTATCTGCCACTGACACTTCATGTACCATTGGATCAGCCAGATCATATGGCCCAAGTGGCAGAGTGGCTTGCACGGCAGCCTGAACCTGTTGCAGAGCCTTCTCTTGTTCTGGGCCCTACTCAACACTAGAAGCTTTCTGAGTCACTTGATAAATAGGCAGTAGTAGCACAACCAAATGAGAGATATGTTGCCTCCAAAATCCAAAGAGACACACTAGGTATTGTGCCTCCTTTTTAGTTGTAGGAGGGGCCACATACAACAACTTATCCTTCGCTTTAGAAGGAATATCTTG